ACACCAATTTTATATTATATATATTTAAAATTAAAATACTGAACTTCCTCAAAAAAAAAAAAATTAATAGAGAACTTCCACATATTAATTTTTTAGCTTCTTTTATTTTCCATAATTGTTCTTGCTTCCTATGTTATATGGATTAAATACTCAAATCTCATATATATAAATGTGTAGGATGAAACGCTCCACGAGCAAAACATGAGGAACAAATTACCATTTTCCTTTCTTTTTAGGTGAAAAAGAATTAATACTAAATAGTAATTACAAGCAAATCTTAAAATGAAACATACTTTATGAGTCAGTAATTTCAACGTTACACATGTGTAACTCTTATGATATGACTTGTATGAACTTTGCCTATGTAATAGTAAGTATATAGTGTGATTAATTAGATGAAATTAATCGGATTTGTATGTTTGTAGAATTACAATTGATACAAATACAATCTTATCCTACAACGAACTCTCCTGTAGTAATTGGATTCACGCTTTGAAATATCAGTCTTTTTCTTTTTAATTACAAATTGGATTACTTTTGGCACGGCAAAGATATTAGTTGTATGAAGATGATCCAAACTGCTAAAAATACTGTAGTACTTGGATCATGGATATCAAAAGGTTTAGTTTGTGTTTCAAGTGTTATTGATGTCTCTAAACCCAAACAAAATTTTATACAAGTGGGATATTGAACTGAATATATTGAGATGCCTTACACTTAATTACATATTGACTAATTAAGTGCAGATGGAATGTTGGAAAGTTGAAAATCATTGTAGGCAACTGGCAAGGTTGAGTCTTTCTAGGTGTGGAAGGAAGGAAGAGGGTGTGGTATTGAAGGGGAATAAGGCACCAACAAGGATGGTACAGCTGATGAGATCGAGGCCAATGAGACACCGGTGACATTGTCACTGGTGATTGATGATTCCATCCCACGGATGGCAGTCTGTTCCCTCCTCCCATGACTATATCTTGGGACAAGTATATCCAAAATTGAGTATGAGTGCTTCAACTACATAAATACAGAAAGCCGACCTGAATTGCAGCAAAGCATATTGAAGAAGTTTAAAATTAATCAAGAACTACAAAAGAAGGCAGAGTAGTGGTAATGAATGGAGACAATTAACATGAAACAACAAGAAATAACCTCTTCTGATTTTCTTTTTATTGTTTTGGTCTGATCTTATTTGCTTGATTTTAGATAATCTCCGGCCAACAGGGATTTTTTAGTAGTTAAAGCCTTACTACAATAAAAGATTAGGGTAATATATGTACTCAAGTATACATAACAATTTAACAAACATCATATGATAAAAGATCAAATGCTTTTCGTAACAGCATTTGGTAGAAGTTGACAACATATATTTACTGTTCTTTCTGAATTATTCATTTAATGATGTAAAAATGTTCAACAAACAAAATATTAGCAAGTAACATAGTCTAAAGTAAACATCAATGGAAACTAGCTTCAGTTTATGTTAGGAAAAGGCAGCTCTGGTTAAGACGATTTTAATCCTTCGAATCCAAACCCTCTTGATTCCTGCAACCTTTGAGCAAATTTCCTGTATCTGAGCACATCAGCATCACTGACACTCCTTCTTGCAAACTTCAGAGCCTCCTCAAAGTGAGAAACCTTGATTTCGGCTACCTCATTCACATCCTCATCCATGGCTTCACCATTCCTCTTCTTCTCCCTTTCAATATCCTTTTCAATGTCTTCTCTTATGGCATATTTGCAAGCACGTTGGCAGATTTCTGTGATATCAGCGCCACTAAATCCTTCTGTAATCCTTGCAAGAGCTTCGTAGTCCACGTTATTTGAGACGGGTGACTTTCGCAGACATGATTTGAATATCTGCAATCTGGAAGTTTCATCCGGTAGTGGAATGAAAATGAGCTGATCAAGACGACCTGGCCTCAAGAGTGCAGAATCAATGATATCAGGCCTGTTGGTTGCGCCGATTATAAACACAGTTTTTTTAGCTGATAATCCATCCATTTCAGTCAAAAGCTGGTTCAAAACTCTGTCAGAAGCACCCCCAGCATCTCCAATTCTGCTTCCTCTTTGTACAGCAATGGAGTCTAATTCGTCAAAGAAGAGGACACAGGGGGCTGATTGGCGAGCCTTGTCAAAAATATCTCTTACATTGGCCTCACTCTCTCCAAACCACATTGTAAGCAGTTCAGGACCCTTGATGCTGATGAAATTTGCTTGACATTCATTTGCAATAGCCTTAGCCAGCAGTGTTTTTCCGCAACCAGGAGGACCATAGAACAGAACTCCTCTGGAAGGTGACATTCCAAACTTTTCAAACTTTTCAGGATGCTCCACAGGATATTGAACAGTCTCTTGAAGCTCTCGTTTGACTGACTCAAGGCCACCAATGTCGCCCCAGGTGACATTAGGTACTTCAACCACTGTTTCGCGCAATGCAGAAGGATTGCTTGTTCCAAGAGCAGTCTCGAAGTGTTGATCAGTTACGGCCATAGAATTCAAAATTTCAGCATCAATAGTTTCATCTTCGAGGTCGAACAATGATAACTTCTCCCTAATGCATTGCATTGCAGCTTCCGTGCAGAGAGAGGCAAGATCAGCCCCAACATATCCATGAGTATCCCTTGCTACTCTCTCTAAATCCACATCCTCAGAGAGTCTCATGTTCTTCGTATGGATGTGAAGAACCTCAAGGCGGCCAACTTCATCTGGAACACCTATGTCAATCTCCCTATCAAATCTTCCAAACCTTCGCAATGCAGGATCAATGCTATTAGGCCTATTCGTAGCTCCAATCACAATGACATGAGCCCGAGATTTCAACCCATCCATGAGAGTCAACAGCTGGGAGACAATCCTCCTCTCTACTTCTCCTTGTGCTTTCTCACGTTTAGGAGCAATGGAATCAATTTCATCAATGAATATGATCGAAGGAGCATTAGCTTCGGCTTCCTCGAATGCTTTTCTCAAGTTCCCCTCACTCTCCCCTGTCATCTTGGACATAATCTCCGGTCCATTAATGCAAAAGAAAAAAGCACCAGTTTCATTAGCAATAGCTCTGGCAATCAATGTCTTTCCGGTACCGGGTGGCCCGTACAGCAGAATTCCTCTTGGGGGTTTAACACCGATACTCTTGAAAAGTTGGGGCTGGCGGAGGGGAAGCTCCACCAACTCACGAATTTGAGCTAATTGTTTCCGAACACCGCCAATGTCATCATACCCCACACCGTCGAGTCTTTCCTCATCTTCCCTCTTGATAGCCTCCCCTTCCCAAAAAATCTCAGTTTC